GTTTCCTTACAGTGACATCTCGTGACTTTGATGATTAAGACTAATTATCAGAGTTGCACAATTCCAATGAATTTCACCAAGAGTCTTGAACTAATGCATGCCCAAATTTATTTCAAATATATTGCTAGGTAATATCCAGAAATCTAATGTAAACGTCTAAATTCTCTAATGAATATTACAGTGAAACCATGGATTTCTGTGTAGCTTCTGATCATTTTTGCAGCATAGAATCGAGAGAAGGTTTTGAAAATATGAAACCAGAAGAAAGATATAAGTTGAGAAATGATAAGTTCAGAAGATGATTCAGGACAGTGGGTACTGCAACTATTGGGAATATGTTTGACTTGGTCAAAGAAATTTTAAACACATTATGCAGATTCTGGATTATCATAAAGACCTGGGTTTTTTATTTGAATTCATTTACCAATCTTCAATTTGATGTTATGAAACTGATTTTCAGAAACAAATTGATTAAACAACAAATTATTCTATTAATTTGATTTTTAATATTCGGTTTGAAAATGTAATAGTAAAAATGATCGATTAATACTTAAAAGAATCGATTGTATCTGTACTGGAAGAGATTAATAAAATGATACCAGAATTTAAATCGATTAAAACGAAAATGAATCGATTAAATTTGATACCTTAGTGTTTTTAGTTGATATACATTCATTCTAATCGATTAAAACAGCTAAACCAAAATCCTGAGAACATTTTAATCGATTATTTCGACATTTCAATCGATTAAAATGGTACGGACAGATATTTTGATATCTCTGTAAGTTATTTTAATCGATTATTATTGTTATATATCAATTAAAACAATTAGTTTAAATAATCAGAACCTGGTTTCGCAGCTCTGATCTTCAAGGGATTCCCAGACTTGTTCTTGCAAAACAAATTAAGAATTTTTTCTGGTACCCTTTATAGTTATTGGGTCCTGATCAGGTTATTTGAAATGAATTAATTTTTGGAACCCATTTCATTCTTCCTTTAGGAATAGCATACTTTTTTATTCTACAATATTTGACCGAGTGACCTTTCTTCATGCAGTAGAAACATTTGATTACAGAGTATGAATTCCTATTTGTGTTTGTTTTCCTGGATCTAGATTTAAATCCTATTCCAGATTTGTCAAAAATCAATTTTTGAGACCCAAGTAAAACATCAAGATTGGCTTGTCCTTGAGTGAATCTTGAAACAGTTTGAGATAAGAAATCAATTTTCTTTTGTAATTCAGGACAGTTATTGCAGGGTTTATTGCATTCACAATCAGAATTAGCATGAATTAATTTCAAGAAATCACGATCATGTTCATCTTCAAGAATTCTTTTTTCAAGAGAATCAACTTTATTTACTAGCCAATTATTTAGCCCTTTTAGCCTATCGTTTTCTTTTTGTAGTTTCTTAGCCTCTTCATGCATTTCATTAAATGCTTCTTGCAATGCATCATAATTCACTAAATTTAAAGAGGAACTAGAACTTACATTATCAGAATTTTCTGGGCATTCCATCCTGACATGGCCACTGGTATTTGGTGATTCTGAGTTGACCATTAAGCATATCTCTAGTGCTTCTTCATAGGTCTTTTCAAGGATCTTCCACATTTGTGCAGCAGTTTGACAATGTGCAATCCTAAAAAAATCATTTCTGTTAAGAGCGGATGAGATGATATTTTTGGCAATACAATCATCTTGGATTTTGTTAACCATATCAGTTTCTTGTTCAATGACATTCCAGACATTTATACTAACAGATTCAATAAAGATCTTCATCCTCATTTTCCAAAATAGATAATCTGTTCCACAAAACAGTGGAGGTCTATCAATACAAGCTCCCTCAGAAAATTTGTTTCCAGCCATGGATCGAAGAACTTGAATAACTTTCAAGCACCTCGCTCTGATACCAATTGTTAGAAAAGTAGTTTTAGATCAAGAGGGGGGGGGTGAATTGATCTTTGAAAGTTTTTCGCGAATAACAGATTATCTAATTCGAAAATTAAGTTTACTAATCTATTCTTGAATCTCAAAGCAATCAATTAAAATAAGCGCAGCAACTGAATTTAAATGAGAGAAAGGTTAAGGAAGATATCACCGGTATTTTATACTTGGTTCACCCAATACCGGAGCTACGTCCAGTCTCCAGCCAAATTCCAGCTGGGTTCCACTAGATTAAATGTTTTACAGATTCAACAATCTTACACCTAATCTAACACAAGAACCAAATTCCAGTTCCGCACTTAACCTCTCCACCAAGAACCAAATTCCAGCTCTTGATAACCTCTGCAACCAAATTCCAGCTGCAGAGAAACCGAGTACCCAAATTCCAGGCACCACACAGGTACAAGAACCAAATTCCAGGTTCCTCAGTACTCAACCTCTCCACCAAGAACCAAATTCCAGTTCTTGATAACCTCCAGCAACCAACTTCCTCAGCTGCATAGAGAAACTTGTGCCCAAATTCCAGGCACAACACAATACAAAAGAATGAAAAAGAATTGACAAAGAAGAAACTAGAAAGCTCAAACCAGTTTATCCAAATCTGCAGAGAGTTTCTTCTTCAAAAGAATGCAAGTTGCCTCAAGAAAGATTTTCAAAAGAACTTAAAAAATTGTTGCGAATCCTTCTTGAAAAAGTGCTAAGGTTTGCTTGAATGATTGCTTAAGGATGTGTAAAAACTGATATTCAATGTATGTTTAAAAAGTTCAAGCAAAATTGTTTTTAAAGAGTAATTTCAAAAACTGCTGCATTAATTAATCTGTTGAAAGTTTGTTTTAATCTGTTGAAATAGCCGTTTCAATCTGTTAAAAGTCCTTTCAATCCATTAATGCGTTCTTGTTTCTTTAACAGAATTGTTTTAGTTGATACTGCAACGGTTATATCAATTAAAACACTTTACAAAACTTTTCTAAGTTTGATTCAATCGGTTGTTTCGTGTTTTAATCGATTGATATACTGCAGAACTTTCTTATAAAACTTTTCAAGTTGTTTTAACTGATAAAAAGAAGTTTTAATCGATTAAAACTTAGTACAAAATTTTTCCAAGTTGTTTTAATCGGTTGAAACGCGTTTTAATCGATTGAAACTCTGTACAAAATTTTTCCAAGTTATTTTAATCGATTGAAATGTGTTTTAATCGATTGAAACAGATCTAATCGGTCATAATTCAATTCTGATCGATCATAACCAACTCTCATCGGTCATAACTGCATTCTGATCGATCATTCTGACCCTTTAAGTGATTTTAATCGATTGAAACGTGTTTTAATCGATTGAAATAAGTTCTGATCGCTCATATTTAAAATCTGATCAGTCATAATGGGTTCTAAAGGGTTTTAGTCGATTAAAAGTAATTTGTATCGATTAAAATACTGTAAAAACACTTCTTTGATCATTCTAAGTCATTTTAATCGGTTCTTTCAAAACTTTATCAGTTAAAAACATTTATTAGAAAAGTTTTTGTCAAAATGCTTTGTTTTTAATTGTTTAAAACTGTTTTAGAGACATTTTGCAAAATCATTTGAGTGAAGAAACTTTATGCAGCAGAAAAGATAAAGTGGTTTTACCTAAGCATTTGTTAGACACACTAATCTTCTAACTCTTTTATCTGAGTGACTTGTTGACCGCTGTAAAGTTGACTTTTGACTTCATCTTTGACTTCTTCAAATCAATGAGATCTTTGCCAAAGTATTTCACTAAGATCTTCATTACTTTCACCTTTGAACCTTCCTTTTTCATTGGTTCAATTCTGATTTGTCATCTATAGATGCAATAAAGTTTATAGCTAAAGGCTAGCCCAACGAGTTGAAATTCGAAGATTCCAACACCATTGAAGTTCCTATGGCCTTCATGATTGAATCTGGGTTCAACAATGAATTTTGATTAATAGTAACAATATCCTACAAAATCTGAATTTTAAAAACAAAGGTGCTTGGTTGCATCTCCACCTTCAACATTCGCTTGGATTAACTTGATTTTTGGGTTATCAAGGAAATGATGCTTGCGATCCACAACCTGTACTTAATTTTCCTTGTATTTCTCCCTCTTTATGCATCAACTTTTTCTTCCATCATGACCTTGATTTCTCTTGCTAATTTTACTGTATCATTTTTGGTCCAAGAATTGCAATGGATCACCATCACAAACTAGTACTATTTGATTCAGTTCCTCCTTCTATGTTTCCTTCAAAGGTGGGTAGTTCTCTTGATTAGTCCAACGTGAATGACCCTATTCATTCAATATTTTTTTTTTGTCACGGTTCAACTCTAAAATGTGATCCTTTCTTTCTAGAACACTGTGAGAGTCCACTTTTCTTCAATGCAAGTTTCCATATCAGTTTCTTCTTCTTGCTTCAAGGTAGTTAATCTTTAAAATGTGTGGCTACCATGGCTATCTCTTAATCATTTGATCAAATTTGTGGAAATCATTCCATATCTGATTTTCCACACCCTTCATGCTCAGGAGTTCTTATTGCAACGTATAGTGAGTGAATTTCTTTTATGTCAAAAATTTTCAGCCTTAACAGTCCACCCAGTCGTAACACCCCCCAAACAAATTCTAGCAGCTTCCTGTTGGTCCAACTTCGTGCTTCCACCATTGACTCTCTTTTGAAGATTTGATTGGTCAGAACCATTGTTAGGAACCAAGAATTGAAATGTGAAAGAAAAGAGATTTTGATTGAGTATATGAAAGAACAATAAATAGAAGAGCACATTCATCGCCGAAGGTATCCGCTTCATAATGGATTTCTCCTTTCACAAAGAGCTAATGGTCAAACTACAAATGAACATCTCTCCATCTCTCCTATCCTTCCTCCTCTAATTTTAACTAATTAACACCTTAACTAAGTAACTATGTAACTCATTAATATTCACTGTCCTAACCAACTTGTTCTTATACCCTAACAAAGCCTCTGTTCCTACATGGTTTCAGTTTTTGAGAGGCAAACTAAATTGTTGAAGGCAGTGAGCCTGTTGTTGCCAGAAAAAATAAATCTTAATGTCTAGTGTCTCCCAGATCGAGTGGGAAAAGGTGATTGTTGCAAAGGGGTTGGAGTTTGTTTGACCATTAGCATCTTAAGCTTTGATATCATGTTAGAGCTTTCAGTGAATTTGAGAGAAAGAAAATTGAAGGATGAAAAGTGTTTTTCATTCAATGAGAGATTTGTTATATTACTGTTAGTATAGCAACAAGTCTCTTTGTTTTACAAGTAGCTGAAAACAGTTATAACTAGCTGTCACCTGGCAACTTACAAGGCTAAACTAACTAATAAATAGCCCAATACATGGTACACATTCCTACACTAACACAGAAAAAATTTGCTTGTATAGGGACTGAAACCAAGTTTTTGGGTATAGTTACTTCAACGAAAAATTGGCTCGGCTATACAGATGACTTACTAATTGAACCCTGTGTATTTAAATAACTTGTTGGGTGAGGTTTTAGTTAAATCTTTGGGATTGGGTAGGTCCTTGAATAAGTTACATATAAACACACTTGATAAAAATGACTTAGATTAATTACAAATGCTAATAGAATGATGTAATTTTTGTAATTAGAATAAATTTAATATGTGTCTTATAATTTTCTCCATTAATTCAGCTCTTCCATGTGGTTTAGCCATATGGATTTCATTACACATTTTCTCTTTTTTATCAACACATGTTTTGAGTATTAATTTTGTAATGTGTCCTGTTAATGATTATATTTGTGTTTTTTAGCTAGTTGATGATGATGTTGTTCGAGATTTGGAGCAAATGGAGAAAGAATCAGATTTAGATGATATATTGAATTATCGATCTGCTGCAGAATATGAGATGCAGGTGACTATGCTCCAAGTTATTTAATGAAAACTCAGCATTCACTTATTGGTGTTATTTTCATTATTTGACTAGCATCTTTAACTCACCTTTTAAATTGTAGGCTTGGAGATTTGCATTGAGATCTGTTATTTGTTTTCAAATCTTGTCCTTTTTATGTTTACAGGAATTTCTTTCAAGGTGTTCTACTCCTCACAATGGCAAGAACACTGATATTCCTACAGAGAAGTCTTGCAATGATGAACATCCAGTAAAATCGCGGGGATGGTTGAATTGGCTTTCTCGTGGTATGCTTGGTGCTGGGGGAACTGATGATTCAAGTCAATTTTCTGGAGTTGTGTCATATGATGTTAAGGTATATGCAGGTGTTTATTAAACTATCACATTATTTTGGCCTGTAGTTATCGATACATATATAGTTGCATGGAGCAGCAGAACGCATAACTGCTGTAGCATGATGACATGTGGTGAATGAACATTCTTAATGTCACCTATTGTAATAGGCATCTTCTTAATCTCACTTATTGTAGTAGACTTCTTATCAAAGGAGGTATTGGAAAGCCTGCCTTAGTTCTACGGTTGTTGTTTATATATTTGTTGGATCAGTTTCTTTATCGCTAATTGGTTTTAAGATGAAATCTGACATGTATTAGAGCTATAACTCTTCTTAGTTTATCTTATTATAGTAGACATTTTCTTAGTCTGGCCTACTATAATAGGCATCTCGTTGAGAGGGGTGTTTATAGTTATCGAACTCGCGAGTCAACTCGCTAACTTGGACGAGTTAGTGAGTCCAGTGACTAGTGACGAGTTAACTTGTGAATAGACTTGTTTCTAAGTAGACTTAGATTCAAACTCGGTAGATTCGGTGACCTTTAAGCACACTCGCAGGTTTGAGGGAGAGTGAACAAGTTTGAATTAGATCTAGATTTGCGTTTTTGTCTCTGTTTTCCACACTCCTCGTCCCTTCTCATCGCTCACCACTGCACTGTGCTGATCGATGTCGTTGTTGCAGTGGTTTTGTTGCTCACTGTCACGCTGCTCATGCAAGTTGTCATCGCATGTGCAAGTCACTATTGCTCGTGCAAGTTGCCATGGAAGTCACCGCACTCACAAGTCGCTGTGGAAGTTGCTGCTGCTCACTGGTTGGGGTTCTGATCTAGGATTCCATGACATGGGATTAGAGATTTTAGGGTTCTTTTGTTGTGTATGGATTAGGGATTATAAGGATTTTATGGTTCTAATTTGGGGATAATTTTTTTGTTTTTGGTTAGTTTGAATATAAAGATTGAAATTTGAAAATGTTTCGAATTGGTTCAAATTCTTCTAAAGACAATGGAGTCACATCTTCATTTCCACCTAGAAGTAAAAATGTACTAGGAAATAGAACAAATATTGGGTGAAAATATGGAATATATTATATGAACTTATTTATTTTAGTAATGTGAAATTGATATTATCATGTTTATACTTTTTGTTAAATTGGTATTTTTCATATTAAGTAGACTTTTACAAGTCTACAAGTTTAGTCTACAGCCCTCCCACATGTCTTCGTAGATTCTCGAATCTGATAACCTTGGGGGTGTTGGGGAGAATCCAAAATCATCTATCTTAATTCTTGGGATGCAGTTTATTTTATATATATATATATATATATATATATATATATATATATATATATATATATATATATATATATATATATATCTTGGGCTACATCTCTTTGGACCAATTAGTTTTAAGTAAATCTGACAATATTAGACATCTATTAATGCTGAAAAAAAAAAGGCTAAGTTAGAGAGGCCTTTATAATGAATGATCAAAAACCAGAATTAGAAAGAATTAGAAACTATAGTAGTGAATACATTCGACAAAAATTAAATACATGTTAGAGCATGAATTCTGCAATAAAGTAAGAAATAAAACCAACAAAGCAGGGATATTGATACAAACCAGGGAACAAATGATAGAATTGAAAGGAAGGGCTATCTAGGTCAATGGGCTTGCTGCAAACTGTTGTTTGGCTGAAAACTTGTATAATACTGTTTATTTTGTCATGTTTATGTAGTGTGGTACGACACAATGAAGTTGGTTTCTGTAATTTTGCAGGATATGTCTGAAGCGACTGAATTTCATCCTCTAGTTTCATCCAGCTTTGATTCTGCTGTAAAGCATGAATTATACATTTTTTCAATGAAGTTTGAGTTTGATGAGATTTCTGCAACACTCTGTAGCAAGTATCATGCTCTACTCTTTGTTTACAAGCATTTAAGATACTTTTTTCAACTAAATGCTAAGAGAATGATTTCTATTTTTCACACCATTCATGTTACAGTAATGCTTAGTTCAGTTGTGTAGTGTGTGTTATACTGTTTATGTAATGTTTGTTTGCCCAGTTGTTAGCCTAGCAGTTAGAACTCAGTCAAGAGTCCGAGTGAGATCACTCACTGTATTTAAAAGAACCTGTTAGAGCGTCATTCCATTCTAATTTCAATATGGTGAAATCTGTTTTATTTTGTATTTATCCTTGATTTTTATCAATTCCTCACTTTATGATTTTTTTTTAATTTAAAAAATTAGGACATATTCTCAATTTTGTTTACTGAACTCTGTCTTTCTGTATTGATTGTTATGGTGGGTAATATGAAAAAAAAAGATTGTGGCCATGTACTAATTATATTTTTTCCCAATTTTTCTCTCATTTTTTAAGGAGGCATGATAAAGGAATTGCAGAAATAATTATTGAAGGTGGAACTGTTGAGTCTAAGATCTACAAAGAACGTGGGATTGTTATATCCAAATTCAAATCTGGGAAAATAGTTGATCTAGGCAACACGAAAGTCATTGTACATATTGGAGGGGTATCATTCTTATAATTTATTCTGTATTGAATAAACATACAAATCAATTTGGGGATTTTTTACCATCTTTCCTTAATAGATGGTATTCAAACTTCTGAATACAGTGGTTTCTAATTTTAATTATTTTTGTATATCCACCCAACCACTAGAAGCTTCTTATTTCTGTGACAGTTAACTGTTGGTATTTTTACTGCATGACATGCTTTGCAAGAAAGTATTGTTAGTTTTTATAGCCTTTGGATAAATTTTTCCTCAATTTGATATTTAACCTTGCCATGACAAATTTCGTTTGGAACAATTTTCCATTTAATCCATGATGTTTTATTCCGAAATATACCTCTCCGGGATTCCTAAACTATTTCATTTCACCCACCACAATGTAATATACAATCAAGATCCCTAAATTTTGCAACTTGGGGTATTAAAAGAGATAGAACAGAATGCTAGGAACTTTAACCTGATAATTAATCTATTTATACTATCTCAATTTCAATCCTATTGACACTGATGGTTCTATACTTTGATTTGTAGCCTGTCCTTGAAAACCATTTACTGGACAATTTGGATAATTCTTGCAGCATTCAAGTAAATTTTACATCTCAGAGAGATACGGACATGTCAGTGCAGGTATCTGACAGTTTGTAGTAAGTGGCGAGCATTGGTATGCTCGTGTAGGTATGCATATTCAAAGCTGATGTGTCCTGTGATATCACATTTTCTTTTCCAATTATGTGCTAACAGGGAATATTCCAACAACTTGAAGTGACAGTGGATGCAAACATTTTATCAAATTTGTTGGAGTTTTATGATGTCTTTACATCGTTCAAATTTCATAATGAAAGGGTATTCTTTATTTTATCGATATCCTGTTTTTGGTGTTGTTTTGCTCATTCCCTGTTTCTAATATTGCTCAAGATCTGAGTCAATAATATTTTAAAACCTTTCAATGTGGGATTGTTTTATGTTGTTTAGTACCTTTGGAAGTTGTTTCAAGAAACTGTACCCTTTGTAGGTAGAGATCTCTATATTTTTATTTAGTAAATTAAGCTATTAATTCAATGTAGATGTTACTGGCAATAATCATAGTCATAATTAAGGTTATCATACTCATAGACATGCAGACTTGTAAGAGTCTACATCATGTAACTATAACATTCTAATTGAAAAAAAAATGTAGGCATCATGGTACTATTGCATAAAACATCTACTCATGTTTTCACCTAATATCTCTTCTATATCCTGCAACATTTCTACTTGACATTTTAAAAGTTGAGCCCTTGTATTTAAACGAGCCCAAAATGAAACAGAAAAACTATTTTTAAGACCAAACAGAACTGACCAACAACACAAGGAGGCTAGAATAGAACCAACATTAAAATTAGTATAAAACGAATAGACAAAGATGTGAATAAAACATAGGAGAGAACCATCTGGGAAGTGGACAAAACCTCTTTGGCACAACTGAAAACGAAAATGCAACGAGAAACACAACGATGATATGGCAAAACGGGTTAGTTCTAGTGGGTTGTCCTGTAACCCGCCTAAAAAATGGCTGGAGGTGTTGGTGGTTTTAGTCTACCCAGTCTAGTCCGTCAACTCGGTGGGTCAATAATGGGATGGGTGGGCTGACCTGTTGACTCACTTTAAATAATATTTATATATTAAAATAAAAATAAAAAGAATTATAATTAAAAATGTTATATTTTTTTTATTTTATTGAAATATGTAAATATATTCTAATATTATAATTTAAATTATAAAAAAGAATTAATTAAATTTAAATTATTGATTATAATTAGTTATTTTGACATATAAATATAATATATTTTCAATTTACCTAATAAAAATATTAATTAGTAAATAAAAATTTAAAAATTATTCATATAATTAAAGATATATTTTTTAAAAATACAAAATTTTTATATAAAATAAAATTAGTGGCAGATTAGGGTCTTAATCCCGTCTTGACTATGGTGGGTCAGCCTGTCTCGTTCTATTTTTTTGCAGGCTAGAGACAGTGTGGGCCAAAACGGAGCGACTGGCCTGTTTTGTCATCCCTAGATGACATAGAATGACAACAAAACTTATACGTGCATAACATTCGCTTCATTTTTGTGCCAAACATAAACAACATATGTACCTATTGTTTTGTGCCAAAAAAAGACATACCCATTATTTGGTTTGGATCATTATTGTTAATTGTGTAGGTAATAAAATCTACACCTATTACGTGCCTTGTTGAATGTGAGTGAGCTATTTATTCTCTTATGGTGTCCATTGTATACTAGTCTTTCCTGTATATTTTCATGAATAAAGTGGCAACTGACTTCTACATGTTGTTTAGAGAAATGTTTTGAGAATTTTAGAGTAGAAACTAGAGTTTGATTCAAGAATACAGAAACTCAGCTCTTAAGTAAATGCTTCAATTCTAATTCCATCAAAGGTGTCTTACAAGCTTTAGAGATTTTTTTTAATTCTCCCCAAAACTAAACCTTAACAGAAGTTAGGGAGTAAAAAAGGCATTAAGGGAAAAAAAAAAGTGAAATTGTGCCAAAAATGATGCAACTTGAAAAATGAAGTATGTTGCAAAATGTCTATGTGATTTCCTCATCATCCAAGCGATTTACAAAACAAATTTTATGTTTCTCTGTGGAAGCTTTTCGCTTAGCCATGAAAATAATTGAGCCTACCTTGTTCATCCATTGACTCTTGCATCAAATTGAGTCTTTCAGATATTTCCTTTTCAAACCTCCAATTGGTTGCTCTTTTCATTTGTCCTTAAAGTCAAACAAGCTTTACTTTAGTTCTTCCTCTTCTTTCTCGGCCACAAGAAAATTCAGAAAATATTTGTTTCTCTCTTCTCTCAATACAGTGATACAGTTTGCTCTAATGGTTGGTGACAATTGTGAGTGACAGAAGCAGATTCTCGTACAAGCTAACAGATTCAGTTACAAAGGACTATAGATTCATTTACAAGATCTTGAATTAGCTGAAGTCATATGAACTAATGTAGTGAGGTTTTATCATTTGGCTTAAGATCCTGCTCAACCTGACAAAACTAGCTTGTACAATGCTTGATTGTCCAAGCTTTACAAGCTCTACTTAGGCCTTATTTCTACTTGATGTAGGGCCTCAATATTTTGGATTCGATGTCTCAGCAACTGCACAACTGCACCTTTCTGGTTGGCCCCTTCTTAGGTAGACCTTTTTGAGGCATTGGTATCCAAAATTTATAACTTGGACTGTTGTAATACAGTAGATTTAGGATTGACGCGGATATAATTTTTTTAAGTTTGCCCAAATGGCTAGCCTAGCCTTACAAAATTGGTTTGTAAGATGAGGGTTGTTCAAGTTTTATAAGCACATATTAGGCCTAATGTGGGACAAAAGCACAACCCTTCATATCCTGTACAATTAAGGTGCTCCAAAGAGGCTGCAATTAAGGTAGGCTTCGAGGTGACCACAATTAAGGCAGCTCTCTAGCATGATGCTAACTTTGAATGTGTTGCAGTACACTACCACCTATATAATTTTTTTTTTTTTTTAATCTACACTATAAGCAAACTAACTTTATCCCACTAGGTGGAATCAGCTTCAATTTCTAAATGACAATATTGGGCTCTATGTGGTAGTTAAAGCAACATGGAGGGTTGTAATTTATGGAATGCATGCTTATGTTTTCTCTATCTCATGGTTGTTCTCTTTGAGGATGATTTATATTTTTGTTTGATTTTGGTTATAAATTTCTGTCGTTTCTGTCGAACTGCAGGTGTTGTTGTCACTGAATGGAATTGAAAATGACAATATTCGACTCTTATCCAAAGCAGAGTAAGCTGTGCTTTCACAATTACTCATGACATCCCTTTTATGTGAAATCATCTCTCAAACAATGATGGTAACTTCTGGGGTTCTTTCGTTCTGCAGATATATTTCTGGAAACAATAAAAACGTTATGTGGGATGTTAGTATTGTTAATGTTTCTGTCATTTTTCCTTGGAGAAATTCAGCATCAGAATATAGCAACTTGGTAACTTCTCTATGTTACCAAACTAAATATATTGTGTCGAATATTATCTGATGACATCAATGTACTAATTAGTTTAATTGAAATATAAAAGGTATGCAATATTTTCTTGCACTGAGTAGGAGTGCCAATTGAATCCATTTATTCACTAACCTTTCAACCAATCTACCAAATCATTAAAATAAAATTTTTAATAGATTTAATCAACAAATATTTCTAGATGATTTATTATTGAGTTTCAGACCGAGAGAGAGAAAGATCTTTTGAGATAAGTGTCTGAAAGTAGTGTAAAATGAATTCAACCCATGTACAACTGAGTTACATCAGGTATATATAGTTTCAGAGATTAGAAACACTAGGTTCTAACACACTGTAACTAACTCTATTTTAGTGATTACAGATATTAGAGATCCTACTGAACCACTGTTGTACAAGTAAAGGAAAAGTGGAGAGTAAAACTTTACTCCAATATCTATTTCTTAAGAACCCTGCATCATGTTCTTTAAGTCATTACGTCAAGATATTGGAATAATCGTTTATTCTTTGTCCACCTAGCCTCCTTAACTGAAAAATTATACAAACCATGTATTTTACACTTTTATTGGTTTGTTAGTACAGTTTGTCATAAAAGAGTGACTCATTGTATTTTTGGTTTTTATGCTGTCATGTAGTGTATTTTGTTGGAGTGAAATGCTTTCACTGATGTTGTTTAAATATCTGATTCCTTTCGCTATTTATGACATATTAGTGTATCCTTGTTATCATTAGCAATCATAGAATTGCAAAAAAAATTATTAGATTAGTAGTTCAGTATTTATGCCCTGTTGGTAGCTAATGAAAGGATCATTTATGTTGAGAGCGACTACTAAAACAAAGATTTGCAATGATTTTAACAATTCCAACCGTGAGATGGTTGACCACATGTAGTATGCAGATATTAAATACGGACTATCCCATAGACCGTTCTTCTTCCTCCTCTGTTTTCTTTGTTTTCATATCAGTTCTTATATTTCATCAATTCAAAGCTACATATTCTGAATCTTAAAATATAAAAGTTGTTGCTCTTCACGAGTTCTTATTCAGTTGTCATATCATTTGCCTAAACACTCCTGGTAGGCTCCTTAATCATCTCTTTTTTGTATTCAACGCAAGAATTTAAGATTGAAAGTGGTTAAAATACAAGAGCTTTCTATAACTATGACATCATTGAAACAAAAAGGCAGGTAAATTACGAAATGAAACATTTAACAGAATATGCCAATCATTCTGTGGATCAACCTAAGACTCCCAAAAGCTAAGTTTTACTGTTTGTCCCAAATGAACTCTTGAGGCAGCACACAACAAATAAAACTATAGCATTTCTTTCCAACCATATGCACCAAAGAACTTCCATCTCGCAACAACATTGAAGTGTTTTAGTATTTATATATTGTTGCCAAATCCTCTAGAACTACAGATAAAAATTCTTAAGATCCTTTTGGCAAACCCATTCTTTATGAAAAAGGCAACAGCTGAGTGCAAAAATTGGACGAGAAACATTCTCCAACCTTGATCTCCTGACAACATAGTAATCAAGAGATAACATGGTTACTGGTCTTCAGAATAGTTAATTCTCATGTTGCAAATGGTAATTTTCTGTAGGTGTGTCATGTAGAAAACATTATGTGGTACTAGAGATCTGGTTATGTGCTGTGTTATTAGTTCTTTTTTTTTTTTTTTCACAATACTCCCTTTTGAAAGTTTTATCACTAGTATTTTTGAATTGCACTTTGGTTCATAATTATTTTTCTTCTTATTTATGATGTTTTTGCACAGGTAATGAAGTCAAGATCTATATGTTTTAAGTCCACAAATGGTCTTGATTCTTTTTCTTCAAAAGTTGAGGAGCAACCCTATACTGTAAAGAACTTTTTAAATTCATTATCCACATCTGGGATTTGTTTAGGCATCCAACTTCAAGATCTATATCAGTTTTTTGATGTTACAGTAAATGATTTTATGGTAAGGCTCTTGGTCCAGAGTTAGTTTTTGTGCTTGTTTTTACATAGTTATCCATCCTTTTTATTGTGTTAACTATTTGATTGCTTCTTGTTACTTCAGATCACCATGATAAATTCTGACCAGTCGAAAAGAATTTCTATTCTTGAGAAATTTAGTGTTTCTCTCTTCCTGGCATTTTGCATGATCCCAGATGAGTCCATTCCGAAGCAGTTAGAGGTGATTACCTTTTCAGATATGAACTAAAATAACTTGAACATGCATTTAACACAAATTTGTCTCCCATGCAGTAATTTTCTGTTCTTTTTCTTCCCCTGCACCCCTGCTCTCTTGATTCTTTATACTTCTTAATTTCAGGTTTATGTACTTATTGAATCACTTAAAGCACACTTCTCTCCTTCAATATATGGTTCATTCATAGAGTTGTTGAACCATATGGGCACATTGCTTGTAACGGGTAAATTGGGGGTCTTAAACTCCTCTCATCCTCCCAATATTGATTGGGTTGTGCCAACACATTCTACTTTTGGCATATCCATTGTTTCAAAAATTGATTTGGTTGATCTTGAAGTTGACCTTGAATATTGTGGAGATAGCAGCTCAAAACTCATGGTTTCCTTACAAAAAATGGTCTTAAGGTAAGTTCAACATTATGTATTTGGCTGCCTTTCATGGGGACTATTGTTTACAATTTGACTTCAACTTGCAATTTGAAAAATCAGTTGCCAATTTCTTCTCACTTTTATATTAAATTGTGGTCTTTGAAACTTCTACTTTTTTATTTAGTACACTGTGTAAGCTGAGGCTATTCTTGTATCTGTCATTATTGTGCTTATTTTATGTGAAATCTACTTAATTGGTTAGGGCTCTGTCATGGTCTACGTTTTTCATTTTTGCTTCCAAGAACTCACCATCCATCTTTTCATGTGTTTACTGCTGAGACTGCATAGACCATTCTTGACAGTTGTTAATGTTATGTAGTTTTGGTACTAGGGGTTATATGTACCTTCATTATATGGCTGAGGAATAAGTTTGAAAAGGCCCTTGATGGGAGGAAACAGTTAAGAGAGTAAAGAGAGTGAAAAGAAGATTTCTAATTTTGTGGGATGCATTACTCCACTCTATGATCTCATATATATATATAGGATTCCAACATGTAAAAAAAACAACAACCACCAACTACTAACAACCACCATCCACCAACTACTAACTACTAACCACTAACCACTAACTAATAATAATTCTAACACTCCCCCCTCAAGCTAGAGCATACAAATTGTATGTACCAATTTTGGAACAAATAAATTCAATTCGAGGTCCTCTTAAAGACTTTGTCAACACATCTGCAAGTTGATCATTGGACCCGACAAATTCAATGAAAATTTCTTTAGACAACAATTTTTCACAAATAAAATGACAATCAAGTTCTATATGTTTGGTCCTTTCATGGAACATCGGATTAGAGGCAATGTGGAGAGCTGCTTGATTGTCACAATACATCTTCATCTGTTGGATCTCACAAAATTTCAGTTCTTGAAGGAATTGTTTCACCCACACTAGTTCACAAGTGAGAGATGTCATTGCTCTATATTCAGCTTCAGCACTAGACCGGACCACTATATTTTGTTTCTTACTTTTTCAAGAAATAATATTGTCTCCAATGAGAACACAATATCCTGTAGTGGAGCGTCTGTCCATAGGGGAACCATGCAAGAACGCATTCTTGATATCTAACTGATGAAGAGGCCAATGACGGATAGCTGCCATAGCAAAGAAAAGTCGAACAGTAGTCATTTTGGCCACAGGAGAAAAAGTATCACTGTAGTCAAGGCCATAGATCTGAGTATAGCCTTTTGCTACTAATCTAGCTTTGAGTCGATCAACTTCACCTTTTGATCCAACTTTAATGGCATAGAAACGACAACCAACAGTCTTCTTCCCATGTGGAAGAGGAATTAAGTTCCATGTACCATTGTGCTCAAGAGCTTGCATTTCATCAATCGTGGTTTGTCGCCATCCAGGATGATCAAGTGTCTCTTTCACATTTTTTGGAACAGTAATAGTGGATACAGAAGAAACAAAAGAAAAATAGGAAGGAGACAATCTATGGTAGCTAAGAAAATTGTAAATGGGATGTGGATTACAAGTAGAGCGAGTACCTTTGTGAATGGCAATGGGCCAACTTGAGTCATCGTTATCAGGAATCGTGGTATCAGGGGATGATTGAGAAGGATCTGCTGAGGAAGACTCATCTTGGGACATGGGACTTATCATTTGGCTCCTGTGTGGTAATAAGAAGCATTGATGAGGACTCCGGTGTATTTTGTGTGGAATTTTGGGTGTCAGGAGGAGGAGGTACAAATGGCTCCACTAAGGGTATAGGTAGGACATTTTGGACCGAACTAATATCCTACATAGAAGAAGGGAAGAAGGGAGTTGACTCAAAAAAAGTGACATTAGCAGACATGTAGTACCTCTTGGTTTCAGGAGAATAACATCGATATCCTTTTTGAAGACGAGAATATCCCAAGAAAACACATTTGATGGCTCTAGTTGATAGTTTATCTAAACCTGGAGACATTTCATGAACAAAACATACGCAACTAAATACACGAGGAGAAACATGAAAGAGTGGGTCCTTTGGCAATAGAATAGAGTGTGGAACTTTATTGTTAAGAGGAGAAGATGACATTCTGTTAATGAGAAAACATGCAGTAAGAATAGCATCTCCCCAATGATGAACGGGCATATTTCCACCAAGTAATAAGGTACGAGCAGTTTCAACCAAATGACTATTTTTTCGTTCTGCTATACCATTTTGTTGTGGTGTGTGACGACAAGTAGACTGGTGTAAAATGCCTTGGGAGCTTAAGAGAGTGGAGAAATCAGTAGAAAAGTATTCTTTGGCATTATCACTTCGTAAAACTTTTATTACTTTTCCAAATTGATTTTTTATTTCGTTAAGGAAAGACTTAAAGATAAGTAATAAATCAGAACGGTCTTTCATTAGATAAATCCAAGTACACCTAGAAAACTCATCAATGAAGGTAACAAAATATCTATACCCAAAGGATGAGACATGACTAGGACCCCAAATATCAGAATGAACAAGAGAAAAGACAGAGTCACATCTAGATTCAGAACGTTTAGGAAAAGAGGACCTAGTATGTTTTCCTAGTTGACATGATTCACATTCAAAATCTTGAAGAGTCTGAAGTTCAGGAACCATTTTTTTTAATCTTGATAAGTGAGGGTGCCCTAACCGTTCGTGTAATAGTTTTGGAGACAAGGATGCAACACAAGATACAGATGATTTAGTCCCAAGGTAGTATAAGCCTCCAGATTCATGTCCGTCAATCTGTCGACCCGTACCACGTTCCTGTATAACAAAAGAGTTGACATTAAAAGTTACTGAACAATTCAATAATTTGGTTAATTGACTTAGGGAAATGAGACTGAAGGGACATGAAGGAACAAAAAGAACAAATTTTAAGTTTAAAGACGGAGAAATGGAGACTTGACCAGTTCCTTTAGAGGCTACTTTAGATCCGTTGGCTAAGGTTATGAGATGAGGAGTTTTAGGAAATGAGAGAGAAGAGAACAAAGAGGCATTAGCAGACATGTGATCAGAAGCACCTGAGTCAATAATCCATGGATTTTGACTTTCCCCAGATTGTGAAATGAAAGTTGTTGATGAATTTGGGGTAGTTGATGACTGTGCTAAATTACTGAATTTCAACCTCAAATATTTATGATATTCTTCGTGAGAGAACTTGGGTTCAACCATTTCAGATTTGGAAAAATTGACAGTTTTATCAGGAAAACCGTGCAAAGAGTAGCAATTTTCCACTGTATGACCCATTCTCTTGCAATGAGTACACTGAGGACGTCCTCTACCTCCACGTCCTCCTCTAGTGCCGCGACTTCCTCTTCCACGGGTAGAAATCATAGCAGAAGATTCAACAAGTTCTTGATTATTTTTTCCTTTGAGAGTTGGAACACGAAGCAGTCTTGTAGTCAAACATTCCATAGAAGGAATTTCTTGTCTAGTTAAAATTTGATCTTTAACATGATCAAATTCTGAATTCATAGCCCGGAGAGTCATAACCATATAGAATTTATCCAACTTTTGCTTTATCTCCTCTAACGAATCCACCTCTAGGAACATCTTTAATTCTTCAACTGCTGATTGAGCTTCAGCAATAAAGGTCATCATATCTTTATCCACTTGCTTGATAGAGGCTAATCGATTAGCGGAATCATAGAGGCGTTGGATATCATTTGCAAAGATATTTTGAGTTTTTTTCCAGAAAGAGTTACATGTTTTGAAGGATCTGAGAGTGTTCAAAATATTTGATTCTACTGATTGCCACAGTAGAGGACAGAGTTGATAATCAAGTTTTTTCCATTGTTGAGCCTGATCTTCTCGTATCTTACTTCCGTCTTCTTCTAGATGATCGTGAAACCCTTGTCCAAGGAACCAAAATTCTACTGAAGAGGACCAAGACTTGTAATTTTTTCCATTTAATTTCTCAGCCGTTATCGTGGGAGTTCCGGAAAAGGAGGTTGTGGGCCTTGATGACATGTTTTAAATAATGTAGATGTAAGATGGAGACAATGAAACCTGTAAGAAAGAGAACACCCAAGATAGCCGGAAGGTTACTGGAAGGTGGTCGGAAAGTCGTCGGACGGCAGCAAAAAAAACGTGACTGGACGGGGGACTGACGGTTGTCGAAAAATGAGCGGAAAGTGGCCGGATGGTGACCAAAAAATGGTCAGACGGTGACCGGAAAATGGTCGGCCAGTGACCGTAAATGGTCGGCCGGTGACCGTAAATGGTCGGCCGGTGACCGGAAAATGGTCGGCCGGTGACCGGAAAATGGTCGGACGGTGACCGGAAATGGTTGGACGGTGGCCGGATGGTGGCTGGACAGGCAGAGCAGGACCAACCTGCTCTGATACCAAGTTAAGAGAGTAAAGAGAGTGAAAAGAAGATTTCTAATTTTGTGGGATGCATTACTCCACTCTATAATCTCATATATATATATATATATAGGATTACAACATTTAAAACAACAACCACCAACTACTAACAACCACCAACCACCAACTACTAACTACTAACCACTAACCACTAACTCATAATAATTCTAACAGAAACTATGTGGAACCAAAAGTCAAAGTTTCAATGTGTGAGGATAATTTGAGAGATCCTTATCAAGGAGTTGGAACTTGATAATGAATTTTACAACTCATATTGGAGACATTATGAAAGAAATAATTTGCTTCAATTGACTAACTTTTGCACAGAGGAAAATCATTATATTTATAAATGCAAATTCAATGTAGTTTTAAATTGACTTTCATTACAGTAAAATACTGGAATGGTTTAGGAAGCTATCATTATTGAAGAGTTCTCATCACCACAGTTTTATAGTACATCTGGTCCTATATGTAAGTAAGAAAATGCTTAATCAAAACCAATAAAAATATCAGTTGATTTTATTAAAAAATGTTTTAATAGTTTTTAAAAAAATACTCAGCATTAAATGATTTTAGTTGTTATATATTATGACACTAGTATTCAAAGAATAATTTTTTTCAACCAATAGGTGTGTCTTATATTATTGATTGCCCAATGAATGTACCCACTTTCGTGGGAAATGAGTGAGTGACTCATAGACTTTATAATACTGGAGAAAATATTTGTGGAAAAATGCCTGGTGTATGAATTCATCCTCTCTGAAAGCAGAGTTGAACCCCTAATCACGTTCTTGGATTAGTAAATCAACCCTAAGAATGTTTGAGTTCCATGATCCCATGTTTTATTTTCTAGTGGCTTTAGATTGGTTCATGTATATTTAAGATATTTTAGTACTAATGGAAATTTATCTTACCTCTTACACCCTCCACGAAGCAAATCATAGATTTTGCCTAATTACAATTATTCACATTTGCTTTACTGTTTGCAGGTATGTTTCTACAGAATTTGAGGAATTTTTGGTCAGTATGAAGTCTTTAATCATCTGTGCTAATAAAATGAAAGAAGACAGACATGTGCTTTTATCTGGGAATTTATCTTCTCCTGGTGCTACAGTTGGAGAAGACTGTGTTCCTGGACCAAATATTGAATTTGATCAATATTCTGATATGGCTATGCTAGCTGATTCATGTTTAGTTATGCATTATGAATCTTCCAGAACTAATTTGGTTTGTCATAGGATTTTTATGTGCTTAAGTAACATTGATATCCACTGCTACCCTCATATTACTGGAGTGCTCATTGACTTCTTTCATAGGTTGTCTGCCTATACTAGCCGTTTTAATAAATCCTCTGCCAGTAATACTGTGGACTTTTCAAAAATATTCTCAAGGTTGGAGTTACAAAAATTTGGCTTCTCAAATTATTTTGAATTTGGTTCCATTGATTCTGCTTGCATTCCAATTGACTGCTTTCCATTTGTTACAATTCACAATTCTGGTTCTCTTGGTAATCTAGAGAGCACACTCATACATGGCATTGCTGACTGGAAAAAATATCTTATTGTGAGGGACAGACAAATAGAAAATTTCAGCATAAATATGAGAAGAGGGCCCAAAATTTTCCAAGTCTCTCCCCCAAAATCCAAATCTGATTTTGGATGTTTGCAAGAATCGGGGACTGGCGGCAACTGTGATATTTTCTATACTGAGTTGCACCTTTTTGGAATAAGAGCACATTTTCATGACTCATCATGCATTGTTGGGACAATCGTGGTGCCTACATCCAAGTCTTCTCTATTATTCTGTGAAGACAGTATGGATATATTGTCTTCTTCTGAAGGATTGGCTCTTACATCATCTTGGGCCCCGCAAAATTTTCAAGATTATCTATGGGGTCCCGCTTCACCAAATCTGTCTCCTATTTTAAATGTACGGGTCAGGAGAGGACACAATATGTCTGCAACTGCTGATCTAGAAATAAGCATTGGCATTCAGCATGTCAACTGCATGTTACCATCTGAATATCTTTCCATTATCATTGGTTACTTCTCATTATCTGATTGGAATGGTGCCTCTGGTGATCAGTGTTCCTCTGAAGAGCAGAGTGATATAGATGTTAAAAGTGAAATGAAAATTACATATAAATTTGAAGTCTTGGACTCTAATCTTATTTTTCCAGTGGAAAGTAATCGACATCAGTTTATAAAGATTGAAATGTCACAGCTTTATTGTAGTTTCATTGAGAATTCTGGTGTTGATGATGTATTAAAGAATATCCCTCCTGAATGTGCAGTTCCTATTCATAAGCTCGCCAAAAGAAACAATTGTCTAAATGTGTTTGGGCGAGACTTGTTCGTATCTTTCCTTCTTTACAAGAGCGATTTACTTGGCTTAGCAACAATTGGATGGAATACAGAATTTCTAACCAGTGCTTTAATTGCACCCATAAATGCAGATATTTGGGTTAGAATTCCATATGAAAGCAAATCTGATTGCAAAAGCACTTCATCAATATGTTTCATGACAAGCATCAAGAGTTGTCATATTGTTGCAGAAGGTATCTTTGTTTCTACTTATTTTTGTCACCCCCCCCCCCCCCTCCCCCCAATATTCTTATTTCACTACTTCAATATTTGTTGGATTGGTCATGTAATTGTAATAATGAATTTTCCTTCAATAACAGATTGCTATTTTTTTGATGGATGTATGGCCATATGTGATGTTGTTGAGGATTTTTCCTTGGTTGATGATCAAACCAAATATTTCAAGTCAGATGTTCTGCAATTCCTTCACTCAAAGAGAAGCTTAGAGGCAACTCAAACTATTTCTCCGACACTGATGGCCTCAACTATATCAACAGAATTTAAATGTTGCACACAATCTTTAGTTATAAGCTTCTGTGAAAAAAAAGAAGATTATGTGGAATTAATAGCCAAGGGTGATCTGGGGTTTATTTGTTCTGCATGCATAATAAATGAGTCCTTGGTATATTTAGATCTGCGTTTCTCTACCTCAGTGTTTTACTCTCCACATCATTCTGTTTTAGCAAAATGCAACCCATCCTCCTTTTCCATTTCAGTACTTCGTATCTCTTTTTCTCAATCTATTGATGGGAGAAATGAAATTGGCATTTGTCTTTCTTCTGTTGATATTTGGCTTCATTTGGCTGAGTGGACCAAGGTTGTTAAATTCCTTAATAATTTCCATGTACATTCGGAAAAAGCCCCAGAGAAATCTATGACAAATAGTTTGTCCATGAATGCTACTGAAAGCACCTCAGTACCTTATACCTCAGAAGAGATTAAGGATGATCTCGTAATAATTAAGTCAGAAAATGTCTGTATTACATTTCACATCCCTGTTTGGATTGGCGAAGAAGCTTGTGTGGAATTACAGCATGCTGAAGGTCTCAATGTGACACCTTCAAGTGTATCCTCTGATATAGTAGAATTCAAAGATGCAAAATTTTTTACTGTTGCTTTCAACATGAATGGTTTTGAATTAATCATAAGAAGCATGGGTATCCAATTGAAGTCCATGATGGATAAACTAAGTGGTGTAATATTGATAGTTGAGAATGGAAGGCATACATCTATGCCACTTTTTGATGTAATTGAGGTTGATGTGGATGTTGTACTATGTAAGAATCATACGAATGCCATCAAACTGAATGTGGAGATTCTATGTGATAATTCACATGTATGGATTTCGCATCCTGCCATTCATTTATTTGGAGCTGTAAAATTTTATGTTCCAGAATCAGGATCTTCTCAACATTCAACCGATGGATTTACTTTCAAATTCCGCATGAGGAAGGTTTCTATTCTACTAACAGATGGAAGGGTTTGTTGATACCATCTTATACTACTTGTCAAGCTGGCATTTCATTTTACTGACACTTTGTTCATCAATTTCTAGTTGCTTTGATTTTTCTCATTTTGGCTTACCAGTCTAAATGTTATTTCCTATACATAATAGATCTCTTTAACTTTTTAACTTTCGCCGAATGATACTGATTGAAAATGAACCATGGTGCCAAACAGAGTTGATCTCTTTGGCCCGAAAAACTAAGTGTTTTTTTGTTCCTTGTAGTGGAGCTATAATGGACCTGAGCTTGAAATTCTTGTCAGAGACATCTTGTTTCATACAATTTCAAGTGGAAAGCACATAGAATGTTCTGTCAACGGTGACCTTCAAGTAAACTACAATAACATAGAAAAGGTGTATTCAGTAAAAATTCTCCCTTGATACATACAGTTGTTACTGTTTTAGTTATTTTGCATTAACAATTTGCTTGCGGTTGTGTTCTGCAAAATTGAAGGTGTCATGGGAGCCTTTTATGGAGCCTTGGCAGTTTCTGTTAACTTTAGTCAGGGAACAAGACAGTGTTCTGCCGAACAGGCCTGTTTCAACAAATATCATTCTCAAATCTACAACTCAGCTGAACATTAATATCACAGAATCCTTAGTTGAGGTATATAAATTTTTGTTGTGTTTTTTATTGGTTTTTCTCGAAACCTATTATTTTGTGACTTTCTAATGTATTTCCTTCCATCATGGACAAATATGGAAATAACTAGTTCAGGTTCTTTGTTTTTTGCAACTGATCATTTTTATAGGCTTAATATGTACTTAATATTTTTCTATTATAGTGGAAAAATAATTTGAACTATCAGTCCATCCATTAGCCTTGTAGCTATAATAGTGTAGTTTTGTCTACAAGTATAAAATATAATTTTTTGGCATTTCAAGTTTATAATGAATGTTGGTTCATGTTTTCTATTCTTGTTTACTCTAACTAATTTGTTTCCTTTGAATGATGGAACAAGTTTGATTTGAAGGAATGGTCGTGGTCTCTACATTCTAGTTCTGTAATGTGCCGAGCCTGATATTATATGTTGATATGCATAATTTTATTTTTCATCTTTAATTTAGACTCAGGCTTGCATGATTTGTTTTAGTATAATGAAAAAAAAAAATATATATATATATATATATACCAATCTTGGTAATCTACAGTTACTGTTTTATTTGGTGGTTTTTAGTATCTAGTATTTGTCAATAAGAAATGACCTAAATTTACCTGTGAGTTTTTTCTTTGTGCAGTGTTTTTCACGCGTTAGAGAGATTTTCTTTGATGCTCCAGGTCTAATGGGACTGGATGACCATAAAGGCGACAAACTTTTGCATTCACCATGTGCCGAATACATGTCTGCTAGAACATGTCATGCCCCTTATGTTTTGCAAAACTTGACTTCTGTGCCTCTTTTATATCATGTATATGACAGGCTTGTCAATCCTGATGAGCTTCGTGGTTCAAATGAGAATCATGCAAAATATGTGCAACCAGGTTCTTCAATTCCGATATACATGGATGAAAATACTGAAAAGAAACTTTCACGTTTCAGGCCTTCTCACTCTTCTGATAGTTTAAATGAGCAAAGGTTAAATGGATTTGCTCATCATTATATTACTGTACAGCTTGAAGGAACTTCAAGGTCGTCTGATCCTATTTCAATGGATTTAGTGGGACTAACGTGCTTTGAGGTTAATTTCTCCAAGACCTATAATGAAACTGCCGAGGATGGTTGTCTGAATACAGCCCCTACTTTTGTTGTTCCGGTTGTATTTGATGTTTCAGTGTTGCGCCATAGCAAATTAATTCGAATATACTCCACTGTATGTACAAATTGGTTAAATGTTTTATCTAAAGTCTAGACTTTCTGTTTACAACAATTCATCTATATTACCATCCTCATTTGTTATCTTTTTGATGTACAGGTTGTGCTTCTAAATGCAACCTCAACACCTCTTGAGCTGCGGTTTGATATTCCATTTGGTGTGTCACCAACGGTACACAATTTTCTCCTTCTGTATAACATTTTCAACTGTTACTGGATTGTTATTTTTATGTGATATTACTTGTATGATGTATCATTTCATTGCTTCAGCTATTAGGTCCAATACAACCTGGGAAGCAGTTTCCACTTCCACTACATTTGGCTGAAGCTGGCTGTGTAAGGTGGCGACCGATGGGGAACTCTTACTTGTGGAGTGAATCTCATAACCTCTCCAATCTTTTTTCAGTGAATAACAAAGTTGGAAATTTTAAATCTTTCATGTGCTATCCATCTCATCCGAGTAGTCATCCATTTCGATGCTGTCTATCTTGTAAGAGTATTAGCTTGACATCATCTGGATGGCTGAAAAATAATGTCCCTACAGATGATCTAAAGAAGCATTATATTCATCACTTGATCTTAAGTGCTCCACTAATAATTAACAATTACCTTCCTAAGGAAATTTTTTTTATCAGTGCGAGTGGTGGGGTAGACCATACTGTGAGAGTTTCAGAGGTTTGTGATTGTTGTTTTTATTTTATAAGTTTGTTTAATTAATTTGTTTGCGTCTGTGTATTTCATCTGTTCGTTACAGTGGTGCTACCGTGATATTTTATAAGACTTTACATATTTTCTTTATTTAGGTGGGAACTTCTGTATATCATATTGATCCCTCACATGACCTTGGACTGGAGATCTGCATTGATGGATATAAAAGTTCAAACTTTAAATTTCCTCGATTAGAAACTTTCTGCACAATGGCAAAGTTCAGCGAAACCAAGTTTTCATTTTCTGAAACCCTTATATTTGAACCATATAATTCTAATGGTAATTGATTTATTTTCAATTTTTTTACTTGTGTTAGTTTTGTTAATTCACACTTAAAAGTATTTTCTTGCTCTTATTTGTAGGCCCAATATATGTTACTGTAGAGAAAGTGATGGATGCATATTCTGGTAGTAGGGAACTAGTCTTTTTCGTTCCCTTTATTTTATATAACTGTTCGGGTTTTCCCATGTGTGTAACGGAACACACGGGTGAAATGAATGAAAAGGGATTTGTCATCCCTTCTTATTGTGATCTGGGTGAAAATGAAATGTTATCTTTTAAAAAGGATGGTCTTTCTTTGTTTACATCCAACCATGAATTACCCGCAGAAGTACCTCATAACCCAAGGAGTTATATGAAGAATCATACCATTTCTTGCAGAGAGGATGATAGTGCAAACTCTATTGGAAATTACCATAAAATGTTGGGAAGGCAACAAAGCAAAGTTGATTCTGTATTTCGAAATTATTCTTCAGGAAGATTGAAGAGTACACTGAGCTCAAGCATACAGTCCACTTGGAAGTATTCAGGTTCTGGTAATCATGAGCATGAAAAGGTTCGGCCATGCATTTATTCTCCAAGCCCTGATTCCTCTGTAAATGATGCTTTTGTTAAAGTCAGTAGACGTTTTCCTGAAGATGTTAAGGAGCAGTTGCCATATTCCTTATGGTCAAATCCATTTTCTCTGCTACCACCAAGTGGTTCAAGCACTATCCTTGTTCCTCAGTTGACTTCAAATTCTGCATTTATTCTAGCTATGACATCGAACTCAGTTGCTGAACAATATGCTGGGAGGACAAACGCAATCACTTTCCAGCCTAGGTAGATATTGTTCTTCATAGATATTGTTATTGATAAAATGGTATTAATATGGTTGGTTCCTTGACATGGCAGTAAAGCCTCTTTGATGAAATGGTCAGGAGTCTGATCTTACTCTTGAACTTTTTAACTTGTGTCGAAAAAATTGTACTGACCAGCGTTATTCTCCCTTTAAATTCTAAAGGATGTTCATTCGAGGATGTCTGTGTAGTTGAAAACCATACTTTTGTCTTGTTGTCAACACCGTTATGACATGTTTCTAGATGATATACACAATTGTTTGTTAGCGTTGTTTCTTGTAATCATTGTTATCTAAATCTGCAGATATGTAATCAGCAACGCATGCAGCAAGGAAATATCCTACAAGCAGAAAGGCACTGATGTCATGTTTTATTTAGGAATAGGAAAACATGACCATCTTCACTGGACAGATACAACGAGGTATGTATTCTGGGTAGTTTGTATTGTGTCTTTATGTTGGGCAAGTGTAGTTCCACAAGCAAAGAAGGTTGCTTTTAGGCTGGTATACATACCAAATCCAATAGTGCTGGACGTGAGGTATTTGGAAAAACTCAAGTCTTATATAACTTAGAGATTAGTGTCAAAACATAGTATATACATGACAACAATCCTTATCTTATAATTTGATTTTTAAAGGATTGAGTTAGGCCTAAACCATTTTATAAGATGGTTTCAGTCTATCCTATATCCATTGAAAAGGTCACTCACCATGTTATGCAGGTACTTAGCCCAATAGGTGTTGAATGGGAGGTGTATTGGGAAAAATCCAAGTTTTACATTGACTAGAGATAGTGTCAAAATACAGTGTACAAGTGAGGGCAATTCTCACTTTACACATCGATTCTGTAGGAGTGACATAGGCCTAAATCATTTTATACGGCAGACACACATTTTGCACTTCATATTTTATCTTTTCTTTATCTCATTGTTCCACTTGTTGAAACTACTTGCATTCTAACATGTGACACAGGGAGCTGCTTGTTTCAATTTGTTATAATGAACCTGGATGGCAGTGGTCCGGAAGCTTTTTACCAGATCATCTGGGTGATACACTACTGAAAATGAGGAACTTTGTTTTCGGAACTTCCAACATGATACGGGTTGAAGTGCAGAATGCTGACATATCCATGGGAGACGAAAAGATAGTTGGAAACATCAAGGGAAACTCAGGGACCAACTTGATTCTTTTTTCGGATGATGATACTGGGTATATGCCATACAGAATTGATAACTTCTCAAAAGAGGTTTGTCCTAGTTTTTAAGTTGCATTACCTGTAGTTGACATTCCAAAAATAGTTGAGCTGTTTTATATGATTAATTTACTGAAGTGTTACTGCATTTATAATAAAATTGGATTGTTTCTCCTCTTATTATTTTGTATGTTGATATGTTTGCTGAGCTTTCTCTAGATTTTTATCTGAATGCATCTAACATAATACAACGATAGAGCCTTATCCTACCAGGTAAGGTAAGGTACATAGATCATATGACACCATTTGGTTTGGTTAAAAATCACTGCTTTAGTGAATACAAATGTCACTATCAGATTATTAATACATATTGATTTTTTTTTCTTTTAATTTACAAAACAAATTCAAAAGTTATTGCATATATTTTATAAAGCAATTGTACTTGTTAATGCCACTTTATATTGCATAATGGATGAAAAAAATCATGAATATACTGGTTGTACTTGTACACTTACTAAAGCTATGCACAGAAAAAATTCTTAACTTGTCCATTTTTTGTTATTCTTGGTACTTGTTAGAGATTGCGAATATATCAGCAGAGATGTGAAAAGTTTGACGCAGTCATTCACTCCTATGCTTCTTACCAGTACACCTGGGATGAACCCTGCTATCCTCGTCGTCTTATTGTGGAGGTAAAATTTTGTTCTTTTAGCAAACTGGAATCTTCAAATTGCTTAACCTAAAAATGATAACCAATATTGAAGGTACCTGGAGAGCGAGTTTTAGGATCATATGACCTTGATGATGTTAAAGGATATATGCCTGTTTACCTGCCGTCAACCTCTGAGGTAAACCATTTAACATTTTCTGCGTAAGTCATTTTTCATTTTTGACAATATTTTCCTCTTGTGCATCATTTGTTCTGTCAATATTACAAATATTTGGTGATGATCTCTTTTAATTTCGAAACAGTAAGAATGTTCTAATTTCTTTAGATGAATGATGTTTACATGTTATGTAATGATGCAAGGGGGAAGACAATTTTCTTTTCTTTTTTTTTTTTGGTTGGGGGAGATCAAACTTAAATGAAATACATGTTGTCTAATGATGCAATACAAAAAGCTCTTCGTAATAAATTATTATTTGGATATATCGAGACTATCTGTCAGAGTTTATGTTAAACTGTTTTGTGATATATAATCATGATATTGTGAGATAATCATCAAAATATTCTAGTGGCCTATTTTCTAATTCTGCTATTTGGTAATACTCATTGGTTCGTTCCCTTCATGGTAAGGGTGTTGCCCTTTTTTCTTTTTGTGCTTAACAGCTCTTAGGTAATTCAAGGATTCGAGGTGTCTTAGGAAATTCGAGGATTTCCATAATTATGGTAACTAGGGGATTAGGATAACTGAAATTATAACCCATGTTTACATGATTTCTTTAAAATAGGTGCATTACCTATGACAGTTTTTTTAGTCTTTTTCTTCCACTTTGCAGCATCTCTTAACATTGAAATAACAAAAATTTTGGTGAAAACATCTGTTTTCATGGTTTTGGGAGTTGATTCAGCAATCTGATCAGAGCTATTTTGTTGACATGAATGATATTTTTTAACTTGGTCTAAATATAAATTTGAAGTCTGTAGATTTTATAGATACAAAATCTTGCACTCAAGTCTCAGTTCCACAATTTCAATTTTCTAATGTTCGCTTATGCAAATATTGATTCAGAAGCCCGAGAGGACTTTCTATTTATCCGTACACGCAGAGGGAGCAACGAAGGTGACTAGATAGTAGTTAGATTTCATATATATGAGCTGAAAAAAATACATTTCTTACCCTCATGGATGTGATATATATATATATATATATATATATATATATATATATATATATATATATATATATATATATATATATATATATATATATATATAATACATATTTTTCAGGTCCTTAGTGTGCTTGATTCAAATTACCATATGTTTAATGATGTGAAGAAGTCAAGTTTCGCACATGCTACAGAGAAAAGGTTGTATGATCACAATGTAGTAAGGGCTTCGGCATACAAGGAGAAAATATCAATTTTTGTTCCATATATTGGGATTTCATTGATTGATTCATACCCACAGGTAACTGAACGGACTGCTTTATTTTCAGGATCTCTTCTCTTCCATGATCTCTGTTAATCATACTTCTATTTCTGTAGGAATTGCTTTTTGCCTGTATTAAGGATGTTCAAATGAATCTACTGCAAAGTGTGGATAGGCAATGTTTTTCCTTGCTGATATCAATCTTACAAATTGATAACCAATTGCGCTCGACTCCATATCCAGTTATGCTATCCTTTGACGGTGGATACAGATCTGGCCAAGTTGATAATTTGCAATCCAGGAATGATGTTACAAAAGCAAGAATCGAAAATTTAAGTCAAATGGGCAGCTCTTCTGTTCCTGTGTTATGCCTAGAAATATCAAAGTGGAGGAAAAAGGACATTTCATTTATTTCATTTGAATACATAAAATTGAGGTTTCTATTTTCTTACGTTGTGCATTTGTACAGTTTGCTCTTACTGGTTTGATTTTTTGTTGATTATGTACTTTAAAGTAAATTCTTATCATATTATGCTTAATTCTTGCAGAATTGAAGATTTCCGTCTTGAGATTGAACAAGAAGTTATATTAAGCTTGTTTGAGTTTTTCACAAATGTCTGTTCAGGGCTGCAATATGGAATCACGCCATCTCCAGTTCATTATGATGGAGCATCACTAGAGAATTCATCCTCATTTGTTCAAACTAGTGAGAAATTCAGATTAAGTGCTGACCAGTGTCCTCCAAGAGTTGCTCCCATGTTCAATGGAAAACCTAAACGGGTTGCCGCTTTGCCTTCCATTGTTCCAATTGGAGCCCCATGGCAGGAAATCTATCTGTTGGCTAGAACCCAGAAGAAAATTTATATTGAAATGCTTGAATTAGCACCAATAAAGTTGACTTTAAGGTCAGTTGCTCATTTTTAGGTCTCTCTGAACTGCAGTATTCAGTTTTCTACATGTACCATTTCTGAGACTATGACATAAATTGTACAAATGCAGTTTTTCCAGTGCTCCATGGATGCTTCGGAATAGGATCCTGACACCAAAGGAATTTCTTATCCATGTAAGTGGTATTCCAAAGTAATGTTTCACTGCTAGAGAAGTCTTTATGATGGCTCATATCAGTTAGCAATATGACCAAAGTAGTTCTTATGAGATTTGGGCAATCCTTTCCCCTGGTCACCTATAAATGTCTAGTTCTGCAAACTTCTTGCACCAAATATCCTTGGCATGAGAGAATATAAATTAGTTTATTTTTTTAACAACTTATTTTTAATGTTTACAGAGAGGTCTTATGGCTCTTGCTGATGTTGAGGGAGCACATATTTATTTGAAGGATTTAATCATTTCACATCATATGGCTAGTTTGGAATCCATTCAGGAGATTCTAATTAGGCATTATAACCGCCAACTACTTCATGAGACTTACAAGGTATACAAATAATTTATATTTCAAAATCATGTATTTTCATTATTCAGGCTGGAAATACTAATTCTGAATGAACTCCCAAAATCATTATATCTTTTCAATTATCCATTGAATTTTGTAACGTTCATTCTTTCTATTGATGTGCTCATTGATGATGTAGGTCCTATATGGATAATTTGAACTGGGATTAAAACTTCTGAGTTGAAAATGTTTTAGTCTGCTCCTAACGGAATAATTAATTTCCTTACATCTAATTGAATTGTAAATTGTAAGGTTACAAGGAAACCTAATGAGCTAATCTTTGTTGAATTATCTAACGATTATGGCTAAATGTATTGCATTAAATAATCTAGTTCCATATATGTATAACACAACATTTTACCGTTTCCTAAATTTGAAGTTGTTTGGTTCGGCTGGTGTCATTGGTAATCCCCTGGGTTTTGCACGGAGCATGGGCCTTGGCATTAGAGATTTTTTGTCTGTGCCTGCGAAGAGCATTGTGCGGGTAAAAGTCCTATATGCTACCCCTTATTATGTACTTATGATATCCTTGCATGACGAACTACTTTAGCATTATTGGATCAATTTACAGAGCCCTACTGGACTTATTATGGGAATGGCTCAAGGCACCACTAGTCTTTTAAGCAACACAGTGTATGCTATTAGTGATGCAGCTTCTCAATTCAGTAAAGCTGCGCGCAAGGTGTTTCTTCGTTTGATGTAATCAATTTTTGACTTATAAGATTTAGTGATTGAATTTCTTTTAATAATTGCTAGCCTATTTTGTCTAGGGTATTGTTGCATTTACATATGATGATCAAGCTGTCTCAAGGATGGAGAAACACCAGACAACTGTAACTTCTGACAGCAAAGGTGTAATTAATGAAGTATTAGAGGTATGCCAATTATTTCATGTTTAATCTTTCCCAAAAATATGTGTCCATTAAAGAACGAGACTATGGACTCTAATTTTCTTATCTCTCCACCTAACCTCTCATGCGTGGATGGTCTTCTAGATACACTCCACTACCTCTCGGACACTTATTAAATTTCCACTCACTTGAATTAATATTTGAAATTTTGGATTGATTTTCCCAACAGATACAAGAACATGACTAAATCCAAGTGTTAATTATAGTATCTCAAACTATTCTTCATAATTATTGTAAGTGAGCAATTAGGATATCCAAAGTTATTATTAGAAATAGCGATGTAGCTAATTCAATCTTATAAAATTGACTTTTAAGTTGAGATTTGTACCTTAATTATATATTATAAATTAGCTATATTTTTAGTCGATATAGGATCTCCAATACACTTCACACTGAGAAATGAACATCTCAAGAGTGTAAAAATGAATATTTAAGGGTATATAAGGTGAGGTTTGCACTTGAATTATATATTATAAGTTGGTTTTATCTCTACCATTTACTTTAATTCGCTATTAGAGATTATCTGAGCAAGATTGATCAGGTCACTATCGAACCACCCTTAATATTTAATTCCATGTTCTTGAGATGTTTATTTCTTGGTGTGAGGGAGTGTATTGAAGATCCCACATCCACTATAAATATGACCAACTTATATAATATTTAATTCAGATACAAACCTCATCTTACAAGCTGATTTTGTAGGATTGAAATAGGTATCTCTCTTTTTCTAATAATTATTTTATCACCTATAGTATATAATAGTGCACTCTGTAATCAAATCCAATATATGCTTTTACATTCTACTATATATATATAAGGAGAGTTTATCGGTGTGCTAGTAAGCTTGCTGATTATGGTATTGGATCTCAAGGTTTCATTTGGTGGGATAATGTTCCTGGATTTCTTAATGTAGAGTTTTTCAAGAGTTAAATTTGTTTTACCTTGTTAAAGGTTTGTTTCATGGTGAGTTTTTGGTTTTGTCCCCCCTACATTTTTGCATTGTTTTTTCTTTTTCTTCTATGAGTGGTGCAAAAGTTGTTGGATGACAAAGAACATAGTGATTCAATAGCACTACCACTTTTAGTAAAAAAAACAAAATGAGAATATCCAAGATGCAGTTTCTCTAATATCTAACACGAGGAAAATTTTAATAAAAACCCTAAATAATCTATCTCCCTTTAGAAAAGTCCAAAATGTTGAGCTTGGTATTGGTGTTCCGTAATCCAATTTGAAATATTTATTTTATAATGTAAATGGAGAAGCAATAAAACTAAAGCCTTTCAACAGTTGGCAGCAAGAGATATTTTAATTTTAGTGTGACCTTATCTTAACCAGCAACTTCCCTGAATTACATATTCTTCTAAAATGAATTTAAGTCTAACTCAATCTTACAAAACTGGTTCATATGGTGAGATTTACACCCATTTATATTTTATAATTTGGTTATATCTTTAGTCTAATATACTCCCCCATGCTAAGAATGAGATATTTCAAGCATAGAACTAGATATTAGTGGATGGATTGATAGTCGGTAGTATAATAGTCCCAACAACCTCACTAGGGTAAGCCTAATACCATCTTGAAAAGCCAAAACACCAGTTTTGTGAGATTGAGTTGAGCTTAAGCCTACCTACTAAGACATAATAAATTACAAGTATTAACAGTTGAACTTAATATAAGAAATTTTTGTAGCATCTTCGTGATCTTTTGCCTGTGCAATTTTTGTGTTCTGCGTTTCCACTACTACATCTATTCCTGCTTTCCATCTACTGTTCTTGTTGTTACTGTTAATGCTATTATCTGAATTTGTTTTTATTTTGTTATTATTGATGTTGATTCTGCTCACCTTTGTTGTTTATAGGGACTCACAGGTCTTCTCCAGTTTCCAATAACAGGAGCTGAGAGGCATGGTCTTCCTGGTGTCCTCTCTGGTGAATCATTGTTTACAAGTTTCTTAAATATTTCAGGCAACATTAAGAATTGTCAATCGCAAATGTTGCTTGAGATGAGATATTCTCTTTGCTTGGCTACTGACCGTGCTTTCCTTTTATGTCTTTCTTTATTGAAGGAGTTGCGTTAGGGATTACAGGACTTGTGGCTAAACCTGCTGCTAGTATACTTGAAGTTACGGGAAAAACTGCACTCAGTATTAGAAATCGTAGTAGACCCAGTCAATTAAGACAGCAACACTTCAGGATTCGGCTTCGAAGGCCTCTGTGCCGTGAATTTCCATTAAAACCTTATTCGTGGGAAGAAGCAGTTGGGACATCCGTACTTGTTGAAGCTGATGATGGTTTGAAGTTCAAAGATGAGAAGTTGGTGGCTTGCAAAGCCCTTAAAGAAGCTGGTAAATTTGTTGTCTTAACCGAAAGATTTGTACTGATTGTTTTCAGTGCAAGTTTGATAAACTTAGGCAAGCCTGAATTTTGTGGCATCCCTGTTGATTTGGAGTGGATAATTGAATGGGAGATTGGACTAGAGAATATAATACATGCTGACTGTAGTGAAGGGGTTCTACACATAGTTGGTAGTAGGCCAGACTCCTTATTGAGGCAAAATCAGCACTCTCCCAAGGGAGGTAGTGGTGGCAGAACTAGATCTGTACGTTGGAACCAATATGGCACTCATCTTCCATTTCCTCAGACAAACTTGGAACTAGCCAGTAAGGAAGATGCAGCCAATTTGTTACAGATTTTATTGTCTGCTATCGAAAAAGAGAAAGGTAAAGCGTGGGACTGTGGGCGGATTCTGCATCGGGCTAGAATGAAATAGTTTTAAGTTTTATTATGTATTTATTCTGGAACTATAGTTACTACCACATTACAATGCAAATTGGAATTACCAAGCATTCTAGCTTTGGGGAGGAAAGAAGATAAGAAGCACCTACATGTCTTCCATTCACATTCAAAGTTTTTGGTCCAGAGTCCTCCTCTTACCTGGATGACTTGTTTGGCCTCCATGCCGTTCTCTCTCCTCAAAACCTTCCAGGTCTAGAACGAAGCAAAAATGGATGAGGGAGAGAAATTTTGATGTAGAAAATCAGAAGCATTTAGCAAACAAGTTAGTATGTTTTCTCCCAGTTATGTTTTTGTACAGTAAAGTAGTATATAGATTTTACCGGTCATTTTGTTCGTTACAGTTAATATTCCCTACGCTTTGTAAATATTACTGTTTAGATCTTTTAATAACTCCCTTGCTCAGTAAGATTATTTATTCTTTGTGAGAATATCTTCTTAAGGTTCAAAAACAATTAACCATTACTATGTCATGATTACGTCACATATTAGCAGCATGTCACACATTTTTTTCAAGGCAAAACATGTTTAGAGAAAGATTCTTAAAAAGTTAAAAGCTTCCATTTTTATAAAAGAAAAATAAGAAAAAACCTCCTTTTAGAAAGAAAAGAGAACTAGCTCTTAAAATAAACGACACATTTTTATCTTTCTTCTTCTCGGAAATAATCAATATGGGATAAAGAGGCACAAAATTTGGTTTTAAGGGAACTTTTTGAAGTAACTTCCATTTTATTTTTGAAGTTTTAATTGTGCTTTAACAATGAAATAGCGTCAATTAGAATAACTCTATTACCATAAAAATTAAGTCATACATGTCTTAACAAAAGATAGTCCAAGGTTAGAATTTTTATTGGAAAATAAGTTCATATTAAGAGTTGTGGAGTGGTCAAGGATAATTTGGGATATAAATATAGGATAAGATAATAAGGGAGTTGAGTAGAATAAGTACTAATTATTATATTCAATGTTAGGAATGAGAAAAAATAAATTCACATGGATATTCATAAGATTTGTAATGAACATAAAACAGGTGTTTTTATGGGCACTTATTTGTTAAGGTGGGTATGTGTGTCAAATTATTTATTATTGATTTTTAGTGAATTTTTTAATATATATTTTAAAATCAAGAAACGGATAAATTGAACAATTGTTTAAAAATTTGATTTTACGGATTTATATTTTTTATTTAGACTTATAGACTTAAAGTTATTTTTATAGAGATTGATTTTACTTAAATTTATATTTTGTGGTACAATTTATTTAAATTTAATTTTTAGGAAAATTAATGTTATTTTTATCAATATTTCATGATGTAATTTTATTTTTATTATATAAATTTAAAAGTGTCCATAAATATCAAAGATACCCATAGGTATAAAATTATCATAGATATTTTTAAGCAAGTAATGAGGCAAGTATCGATATATTTTTTTAAAATTGGATAACGAATATTATTATTATAACCATAGTCTTATTAATAATATTAATAATAATAATAATAATAATAATAATAATAATAATAATAATAATAATAATAATAATAATAAATAAACAAATAAAATACTAATGGTGATAATAAGGATGATATATGATAAATAATAATAATAATAAATTTTAGAAAGTATGACATATATAATAAATTTCAATGAAAACAAATTATAAATAAAATAATATTAGATTATAGAATATGTAAAAAAAGAAAATTAACTTTGTATTTGTTAAATTGGTTGAAAAGATTAAAAAAGTTTGAAGATATTAAGAAAATGTAAAAGTAAAAAACGTGAGAGAAAGATAATAATGTAATGAGTTAATTGATTGTAAAGATTGGAAAAGACAAAAAAATAGGGTAGAAAAAAATGTGAAATATAGAAGAAATAACTTTATATATAATATGAGAAACAAAATAAAAAATTGTAAAAGGTTAATATTTTAGGGTTTATATATAAATATAAAGTTAAGACAAAAACGAGGTCAAGGTTAAGATTGTATCACCCATCACCATAGGTATAAGTTTAATTTTCATATATAATAAATATAATGGTGGTATAATATAATTAGTGTGGAGATGCAAATGTTGTTACTGATAATATCATGGAGAGTAGGGATGGCAAAACGGGCCAGTCCGCCCCGCCTTTGTCCCGTCAAAAGCGGGGGGACGGGCTGACATGATATAGTCATAACGGGCTGTAGACTTTTGTCCGCCTCGCGCAAGGGATGAGTTAGTCGACTGGTAGATCTGTTCCGCCATAATTTAGAAAAAAATAATTTATTTTTTAAAATAAAAAATTTCAATAAATTTAATAATAAGATTATTATTTGTTTGTCAATAATTCAATATATATATATATATATATTATTTCAATTTAATAATATAAATCAATACATTGTTTTAAAAAATTATAATTTAGAACAATAATAAAATTTACATAAAAATAAATAATAACAAATATATATATATATATATATATATATAACGTTAAAATTTATATTTTTTATATTGAAAAATTTAAATACCTATCTTTTTTATTTGATAAAACTTCACATTATTCGTGTTTTAGTAATTTTTACACCTTTAATCCAAGTCACAAAGATAAAAATAATCAGTGTTTAGGAGAACAAGAGAGAGAAGGTTATGTTTCGAGTAAGAAGAAAATTTGATGTGAGAGTGAAACTTTTTTAATTCTCTTTTTAAAAATTTTAACTTTATATATTATCTTTATAATTAACTTTATTATAATAAAAAATTAGTTTTTTATTAATTAGGTGGGCCGCGGCTTGCGCGGGTGAGCCAAAGCGAGCTAACAGGCTAAAAACATCAACCCGCCTCGCCATATTATAGCAGGTGCGTGGTGCGGCCACGCGGGCCTAACCCATTTTGCCATCCTAATGGAGAGATTTGTTGAAAATAATAATGCCAAATTTAAATGATAAGATACATTAAGGTTAATAAGAAAATGGTAACAATTTGTTTTTTTATATATATATAATAATAGTATAAGTGTTAATTGTTGCCTTAGCCACCATAATGATGCTAAATAAAATTGATAATTCTAGATAATTATGAGTGAGACAATGTACATGAGTAAGGATGTCAAAAATAGGCTTAAGAGGATAGATTAGTCTAAAAAACCTAAAAATATATGTCAAGTTAAACTAAAAAACTTATTATCTAAATTGAACTAAACATATTTTAGTTTAGTCCGTTTATGTCAGACTAATTTGTAGGTTTATGGATCAACCCCTTTTAAAAAATGATAATATTTTTTAAAATAAAAATAACAATAATATTATTTTATTAAAAATATATTATAAATTAATTTGATAAATGATTCATTTAAATATAAGAGGAAATTTCTGACATCCACTTATTTTATGATCTAATGATTATGATGAATTATTTTAGAACAATAAATCACTCAAAACATGAATGATGACAATGAAGAATAATTTTTTGTATCTCTTATGTTAGGATTAAATAGTTCTTTTTTATAATTTATATATTAAATCATTATATTTAAAATAAAAATTAATCATTAGTATAAGTTAAATTTTTAAATATATTTTTATTTTTTATTTAGATATTTTTTAATTAATTATTTTTATATAAATACGCTAATAGTAATTTTAATTTTTAATAAGGTCAAATTTAATTTATTAGACCATTAACCTAACATAGGATTAGAATGCCAAAAATTAAAGTTCGTTTAAAAATATATATCAGATTGATTTATTAAATTTTTTATTTGACCTATAAAATTTAGACTAAATAGTCTATTATGACAATTTTATATGACAATAATAAAGATGCGAATGAAAATTATCTTTTTTATGTGTCATGTGGCAAAAAATATTTATGTTTGATTCTAATTCAACTTCCCTTTAATAAAATAAATATTAATTAAGATAGATATTGTGATACATTAAATAGTTAATTATAATATAATATATTAACAAACTAAAATAAATTATAAATTTATATTTATGCATCAAATAATTAATTACAATATGATAATGTCTTGAACAATATTACTTTTAAAAATACTTTAAAAAAAATCAAATAAAATAATACAGTCCAAGTTATTCCTTTTATACAGCCAACATATAATTGATTACCTCATCATCAAAAACTCTTATTCCTAAGGATTGTGAAGTAATGATAGATATAATATTTAATAAATTGATTAACTAAAAGTGATAACTTTATATTATTCACAAAAAACTATGAAAGAATAGAGAGAAGCGAGATCAGAATAGATTTGAAGATTACAATGGTATATATATTTAATAAAAAAATAGAAATAGGAACTTATTTAACTATATCGTACACTTCATAAAATGAAAAGCAAATGCATTGAAATATTAATTTATGGAAATTTACACCATAAGACTTTCAAGGATCAAAACCTGGTATGTTCAGAATGTTGATATTTTTGTCATATTATCGGCAGCATAATTATGGTTTGAATGATAAGTCATTAATTTCATAAAAAAGTAGAAGTTTCATGCATCAGCATCATAGACATAAAGTTATGATTGATTGATTGCACATATTATGTTATGTTTTGTTTTGTTGTGTTGTTTAGGGAAGTGCTTAAAGGCACTTCTACTCCATTAAAAAAAGGGAAATAATTTAATTAGATGTTACATCTTATTAATTCAATAATTGAATGATGTACAAATGAGTTGTAATAACTTAGTCATCTTAAACTCTTGTATTAAAGTTTATCAACATAAATATTTTCTAAAGAACAATGTAACATCATTCATTACACTTCATGTACACATAACATCTTTATCTCTTTCAAGCTCAACATATTTTTTCTCAAATTATTTTCCTTTTATATTCAAATCATATTTCACTTGTCTAAGTAAAAATAAAACGGTCAAATTTATGAACCTGTAATATTCAGAAAATACAAACAAATAAATAAAATGCTTTAAATTTTTTTCGTTCTCATCAGAATATAATTTTTGCTCTAAAACTAAGCATGGTAAGATCATGTCTTATTTTGGTTCTATTTTAATATATATCTTATATATTTTAACGAGCACTTTTGTTATCTATTATATTTCCATTAAATTAAAATTATAAATACATTAAAATTGTGATTTAATGTTCTAATTTTTTATAAATCTATTAAAATTTACTTTTTATTTTTTTCTTATATACGTCAAAGTTTTATTGTTCATGAAAATAAACATAAAGAAACGAAACTGAAAACGTAATTGCAATAATTGATCTTTAAATGAAAATAAAAAGAGCTTAAATCTAATTAAAAAAAACTCTAAATACAAATCTTCAAAATATATTTATATTCGTGGCAAAAATTAAAATTTATATAAAAAATATCATACAATTTAATTTTATATTTATCCACTACTTTCCTATTTCAAAGATTTATAATTCAGAAAATTAGTTTAAGTGTTTAATAATATTGTCTAATAATTTTATATTTTCATTTTTCAACGTATCTTATTAACTATTTTCAGTAAACATAGTAAATGAAAGGTATTGTTCAATATGACGCGAAATTTATCAGTAAAGGCAAAAATACTCATAAGAGGAAAAAAACCAGGCTAAGGATAAAGAAAAAAATTAAAACAAGAAATTATCAACTTAATATATTTATAATTCTGACTTATTTAATATAATAAAATTATGTAAAATACGAGATCAAATATTCTAACTAAAACTGGTGATTAAGATACAATAAAACACGTGTCTGGATCAGATTATTTGAAGGAAAACAAATTAAATACCTATGTCTCTTTAAGGATTTCTTTTTAACAGATCTTTAATTGATGAGACAGAAAAAAAAAATTATATCTATATTATATCTTTTTCCTTTAATTCTCTTAATCATATTTTTTTTTCATCAATTTTTTTCTTGAATATAAAACAATAAATAAATTACTTTCTTCTTTACTTTATCAATTAGACTTTCTATTTCTTTTTGAAATTATATTTCATTTTTATTTGCTTTTAACCATTAATAATTTTTAAGAACAGATATTTATATTTTAAAATTAATATATATATATATATATATATATATATATTAAATTATAATAAAAATAAGTACACACGTGTCTATTAATAATAATAAAAAGAAACAGAATAACAAGCTTCTGAAATATCCTACAGAAAGATGGGATGCAGTTTAATAAGAAAACAAAAATTTTATAATCAAATTTTTCCCAGTGACTGAAACATCCATTTTGTTTGGCAGCATCTATGTTCAGGTAACTAGGGCAAGAAAAGAAAGAGAAAAGGAGAAAAACGTTTCCAAGTAAAAACATATAAAACAGAGAGTTTGACGCAGAGAAAAACAATTACCTGTACATTGAACTTACCATAAAACCACAGTGCCAGGGTCAAATGCCTCATCCTCCTGCAAATGTATACGTATCCAATGGAAGATACTCTTATTGCTTTCCATCCCGTATATATATATATATATATATATATATATATATATATATATATATAGATATATATAGATATATATAGAATAAATACATGTTATTTTTATATAATAATAAAAGACCATCAACATTAATATATATGGTCATTGTCACTGTATAATCTACCAAGAAAGTGTTTCAGAGAGTTATTTTGTGTCCAGCCTGGCTTTGGTGGCATCCATTGCTAATCGAATGAAAGAAGAGGTATCACCTTGCATGACCAAATTTGGAATAAGTTGAGGTGAACTTTCCCTATTATTGCGACCACCCACATGCTCATAATTTATGAAAGAAGGGTTGTAGTAGTCCATTAGAGTTGCACTTCTGGCTATTATGTTCTCATCATGGACACTTTGGTTAGTCAATCTTTCTTCATCATACAGGTCCTGCTTTATAATGGAATTCCCACATTGTCGAGGTTGTGTCTGGTAGAAAACCTTTGAAACCACTAATTCTCCATCTTTCTCCTCTTCATTGCTGCCAAGATGGTACTGATGCATCACCCAATTCGTCTTCTCGGGCTTCTTTTGCCTCCCATAGTTGGTGTAGAGGACCAGTATCTTTTTGAAACCCTTCACAGCACCACCCACAAACACTGGTCTGGTTTTGCCTGTTTTATGCCACCTTGTCTCGCTTCCCTCTTCATCAGTGTGAACCTTTCTTCTCTTCCTTGTTCCGGTTGTGTATGCTTTGGATGGCCTGTGAAAGAAGTGCCGGATCTGTCCATCTTTGCTTGCACCTGCATTTCCCCATGGCATGTGTTTCATATATATCTTGTATTATAGGGAGTAAACTGTTCTTCTTTGTATTATATAGGAATTATAATCAAGAATGCAAAACAGCATAAAGATCAACTTACAACTTAATTTGAAGGATACCATTCCGCGTGCATGAAGTGTACGTGTATAATGCATGCGGATTGCGATATTTTAGATTGAGTACCTAACTATGTGTATAACTCCAAGGCTTAGGTTTATTCTTTTTTCTTTATTATTTTCCTTCTTATCTTTATTAACATCATCAAATCATTAATAAAAATCAAAATAAACTTGTTTCCCTTTCGTGCCCCCTTTTATACCCTACTTAAAAAAAACAATATACTCTAGCATTAAAGATTAACAATATAAGAAATTAAAGGGTGGTAATTACATTTAATCATGTCTTTTACGTTAGAAAGAAGGACACCATGCTTAAAAAATACTCCCATTCAACAACTCAGTTTAATATTATAATAATCATTATAAGTTTTTATAAAATAGAAATTATTATTATATTATTAAATAGAGTTGTTGAATGAATATATATTAAAAAGTGGGGGATGAATTAATCTTTATCCTATAAAGAAACATCAATGAGGATTATATTATCCACTTGCTACATGGCACATGGCTAAATGTAAGATGAGACGCCACCATTGAGTTTGGTAGTCATTTGACAACACTAATAAAGTATTGGAAAATTATATCTTGATATCTTCTTCAATTTGAACATTTAATGAAAAACTCATTAGAATATTCCAGTAATAAAAGTTTTAAATTTTATATTTATTGTTATTATATTTTTAAATAAAATTGTAGTGTTATATATATGGAAGAAAAATAGTTCTCTGAGTATCACTGTCCTAAACTATTTTTCTTGCGCCATACTTGAACAAATTGACTGACACATATAACTCCAAAGGGCTTAAAATTCTAACTGCTATGTCATAAATTCAAGAAAAGCAAATAAAAAAGATGAGAAGTTTTTTATTCGACTGGTAAAATATCTTATTCAAGGTTATCTGTTATTTTCGCCTCAAATTTTCAAAAAAACCTCCTATTAACTTTTAGAATCTCTTCCATAGCAAGTATAGAATTTTAAAAACAACATCAGATTTTACTACATAATTATTTCATTTCTAGAGAGTATAAATGTCTTGGCATTCGTTCTCAACTGCCTTAATTTCTTAGCAAACTATTTTTCATCACTAAAACCTTGTTTCATGAATGATTAAAAAAGAAAAATTGTTTCATTTAACACTTCAATATTATGCTTCCAAATATATTAAAATTTCAATGATATGCATCAAAACCGTATCAAAATCCCGTGGTTTTGAGGGCAACCACAGATATCAAGGTTTTGGGGGTTATTATAAACGTAGTTATCGGTTACGAAGAATCACATATATAACGAAGTCGTAACCGTAACTACAACTCAAAACAATGTCACAAACCATCCGAAAAATCGTAAACTTTAACCCTATTTTATGGTAGACTATGGTGGAGAGAAGATAGACATAAGAAAAAAAAAACAGAGAAATAACAATAGATATGGCGAAAAATGTGTAGAGAAAGAAAATGAAAATGAGGTAGGAGATAGAAGGAAGAAGAAATGTATGTTTATAAGTATCTAGAAGCATCAAAGATGACAAAATTATTAAAAGAAGCTGAAAAAGTAAAATGAAATATCAAACACCTGGAAGCTTTTCTGGATGCGTATAACAGATCCCGTTCTCCCCTTCAAGCGTTGGTATGAACTCATCAATTAGGGGATGGAGTTTGGGCACATCAGAAAGTACCTTTGCTTCCAAATGCTCTAATATCTCTTGGTCATTCGGATCAAACTTCACCCCAGCTGGTAACCCCGGCAAGTCATTGATTCCAGTCTTTTAATTCATATCCAACCCAAAGAAATTAAAAATCACAATAAATCAAAGTTGGTAGCATAAACAAAGACAAGAAAAGGTTTCTTCACAAAAACAAAACAAAATAAAAAACACATAACATGGTGTGAATGACCAATCAAAACATGTTCTTTAGTACCTGATCTTGGAATTCAATGTTATGACCACATGAGGGGCAAGTTATGTTACGAATTTCGGTTGGTTTTGTGTCAGTAACAAGAGTGTTATTAGTTGTAGGAGTAATAGCGGGCGCAACCAGTTCAATTCCCCTCTCCTCATCTGAGTCATTGCACCATGTCATCTCTTTCTTCTATATGCCCATATATCTCAAAATAGATCCTTGATTTCTTTCACACCTCCTTATGGTATCAGCTCTCTAGTAATATAACCAAGAAGAAAAAGGAAGAAAAGAAAAAGTAAACACAAAAAGAATAGCAGAGAATGGGCAAGAAAAAAAGGAAAAGATAAAGCTCATAGTCTTGTCTCTTTCGACACAAGTTTTTCACGATTCACCTCTTGTTTTTGGTGGGGAGAAAATCAATTGTATTCTATATGTATAATTGAGTTAGGCTTGGTTTTCCAAACTGTTTGCACTGTGCCAACTTCTTGAGAGAGAGAGAGAGGAGGCAAAGGGTATAACTGATAAAAGAAAGGTGGGACTCAAAAGTGGGTTCTACATATAGAAAAGGATGCTTGGACGTCAAGTTTGCTTGTGTCCCCGTATATACGGTTGATCAAGGACTAAATTATGAGCTTCAAACTCTTGGCTTAGTGAGTTAAAAGATTGTTATTATTTTACATGAAGGGTAAATTAGATTGGTTAAGTAAAGAAAATTAATTAAGTAAAGAACACTAAATAAGAGAAAGAAAAAAAAAAGGGTAGAAAACGGTGGTGGGTAAGAGTGGAGATGGGGCAACCTGATTCTTCTCAGGACGTTTCACCTTTTTAGCAAGGGCATGTGTGCGTGTTAGGAGTTCAGCTGCAGTGTCAAATTAGAGTATCCTTAAAGCTATGTAAAAATTCACTGAGATATCAGACATGTACATACGAACCGACAAAGAATGTAACATAAACAATTACGTTTATGATTAATGTATACATCTTTGCACCAACCAACAAAAATACTGTATTGCGTATATACCACGTACACTTCTTAAGAAACGGATCTCTCTCTCTCTCTCTCTATTTTATCACTCACACATACACGCTACTACACGTTCTCCTTCCAAGTTCAACGAAAATGTATCCAAATTTCATACCTGAGGGTACTGTAATTGGTATCATTCAAAATTTCCAAGTAATTTGTACTGAATCTTCATGCTTTTTCTACGTGATTTTATTGATTTGACATGTTTTGGAGACGCATATATTCATGACTGTCACAATCAATTAGCATATTTTATCATTTATAAAATTAAATACAAGTGATTCTAATGCGGTGTATGACGCTTGCTGTTTAAGTTGTTGAACATTTTCACTGATGCCACACCTTGGTGTGGCGTTTTTGTCAGTTCACTTTGAAATTCATGGGATGCGAAATCATGATACTCATGGATTTGAGTGAGTGTCCAAGTACGAAGACACAGATTAGCATAACATAATCCTTCCTTAAGAATTGTGAATTAATATTTTTTCAATATACCAGCCGACAAGTCTTTGTCAGCTTCTCAAACAAGCTACACAATACGAAACTTAGGTATTAAGCTGGTGTTGTTCGTATTTGTTTTTTTATGAAAACTTTAACGTTTGGGGTTAGGGTTTTAGGGCTTTTTGAGAATGTTGTTTCTTCCAGATATGTATACACGTTAAATGGCATGGTCATATTGAGCTGTGCAAAACGTTGAATTCTCTAACAGTTACTGTAGATAAGGGTTGTTTGTTTGGAGAAAGAGGAAGAGGAAGAGGTAGGGAAAAAAAGGAGAAGAAAAAAAGTTTATACACCAAAACGTGATATGTGCCATGGCATGGATACGGACATAGGAACACCACGTAGACGCACGATTTGCCCTAAGCTACACGTTTCCCTTTTCAAAAATATATGCATTTGTATTCATGTTAAAGAAAACATTTATATATATATATATATATATATATATATATATATATATATATATATATATATATATATAAAATAAATAAATGTAAACTACTATCTCATATATAAGTTATTGTTCATTTTGGAAAAAAGTGATTTCAATAAATTAAAAAATAAAAATATATATAAACTACTTTTAGTATTCAATCTAAAGGATTTGACATTCATAAACTTACCCAATATTAGGCTTGACTTAACTTTGGTGGTGAATGCATTTAAGAATAATGGTGGGGTTCACTACAAGAAAAATCGCTTTTAGCGACCGAAAAAATCGGTCGCTAATGGCCAAAATTCGGTCGCTATTCTGTTAGCGACCGAAATTAGCGACCGAAATGGTTGGTCGCAAAAGGGCAAGTCGCTAAGTTGTTAGCGACCGATTTACATTTCGGTCGCTAAATAGCGACCGATCTGGTGGTCACTAAAGTGGTCGCTAAATAATTTGATCACTTATTCATTGGAGACCAAAATAGCGACCGAATTAAGTGGTCGCTAAATCGGTCGCTAAATCCGTGGTAAAGTTTTAAAAAATAGCGACCAATATATTCGGTCGCTAATATATTAATATAATTATTTAAATAATAATTAAAATCGGTCAGCTAAATCGATCGACTAAATCGAATGAAAAATTTAAAAAAATAGCGACCAGATTTAAATCGATTACGCTAAATCAATAACAAATTTAATTATTTTTATTTATTTACATTTTTATTATATTTATTATTTATTTTCCCTACCTCTTAATTATATTATATTTTTTAGAAGTTTAACTTATTATTAGGTGATTTATTGTCATTGTCAGGATTCGAACCCGGTACCTTAGAGTTGGAGGTCGAAACTCCAACCATCGAGCTACTAGGATCTTTTAATAATAACTTACAAATAAATTATATTTATATACAAATAAATGTATATCCGTATAAATATATAAATATAAAATCTATAAATAAAAATATATTTATATATTTTAATATATATTTAAATATTGATATATTTATATATTGATATATTTATATCTTTATATCTTTATATTTTTACATATATTTATATTTTTATATATTTATATCTTCATATTTTTACATATATTTATATCTTTTCATATTTATATATAAAGATATTAGTTTTCTATATAAATAATATTATAATATAGTATATTATACTATTAGTATAGTATACAAATAATATATTAGTATAGTATAGTATACAAATTATTAATTTTGTAATTTATATACAATGAAAATAATATAATGGTATATTAGTATAGGATAGTATATTTGTATTCTAATTTTTAATTAAATTAAAATTATGCTAATAATGTATATTAATATATGAGGGGATAATATTGATATATTGATATATTTGTATATATATATATATATATATATATATATATTTATATATTTATATATTTATATATTTATATATATATATATATTTATATATATATATATATATATATTTATATATTTATATATTTATATATTTATATATTAATATATTTATATATTAATATTTTGATATATTTATATATTGATATATTGATATATTTATTTATATCCTTATACATTTATATCTTTATATATATTTATATATTTGAAAAAAATATTAAATTTTAAAAATAATATTATATTTTTAAAAATAAATATTAGAAAAAGATTTAAAAATATATATAAATTATATTTACATGTACAAAATATTAAAGATATATGTTTATATCTTTACATATTTATATATATTTATATGTTTATATTTTTACATATATTTATATCTTTCCATATTTATATATTTATATATAAAGATATTAGTTTTGTATACAAATAATATTATAATATAGTATATTATACTATTAGTATAGTATACAAATAATATGTTAGTATAGTATAGTATACAAATTATTAATTTTGTAATTTATATACAATGAAAATAATATAATGGTATATTAGTATAGTATATTTGTATTCTAATTTTAAATTAAACTAAAATTACGCTAAATGTATAATAATATATGAGAGGATAATAAATTTAATCCAATTACTTTTATAAAATCTATAAAATATTAACAATGATATTATATTTTTAAAAACAAATATTAGAAAAAGGTTTAAAAACATGTATAAATTATATTTATATGTCCAAAATATTAAAGATATCCACATTTAAAACAATATTAAAAAATATTAATAATAAATTTAATTCTTTAAATTTAGTATTTAGAAACTAAAATTATAGTTTCTCTGTTTTTAAAAAATTAAAATAACTATTTAAAAATAAAAATCAAAACTAGTATTATCTTAAATTTATTAAAAGTGTAATTAAATCTCTATTTTCTTAATTTTATTTGTTTCAAACATCTCAATTCTACATTTTTGTAAGTTCTATCATTATATTATCATCCTCATCTCCTCCCATGTTCTACTTTATCTTTACAATAGTCAATATTCTTAACTAATTTATATTTTTATTTATAATTTTTTAGTATATATTTCAGAAATTAATCAATTCTAATCTATTCTTTGAAAAACTAATCAATTCTAATCAATAATTTATAAAACTAATCGATTATAATTAATTATTTGAAAAAATTATCAAATATGATCGATCATTTCAAAAATCTGATCGATCGTAGAAAAAATCGCTCGAGCGAGACTAGAGTCGCTCAAGCGAAATACAACCCGAGAATGCCAATTTTGTGCAGGGGTGTTTCGCTCGAGCGATTTTATTTTCGCTTGAGCGAATAAGACTTCTAATAGCGGTTAAAGCTTAACCGCTATCTAAAATATGATTAAGATAGCGGTTAACCCATAACCGCTATCTAAAATACATTTTAGATAGCGGTTAACCCCTAACCGCTATTATATCCTCTCAATTATGATCGATTATTTCAAGGTATGATCGATCGTAATCTTATTTCGCTCGAGCGAGAGTATTGCGCTCAAGCGAAATACAACCCGAGAATTCACAATCTTAAAATATTTTTTTGAATATTATGTTTTTAAATTTGCTATTAGAGAAAACCTTTCAGAATTCAAAATGTTAAATAGTTTTAAATATTAAAATTAACTTTATCAAAAATTAGGAAAAAAAATTTATCCAAAAGAGTTCAAAAATGTATAAGAGTATTCTCAATTTTGAGTTTAATTATATTGTTCATTCTCAAAGTAGAAAATTATATTGTAATTATTTTAATTTACATTTTGTGATCTTCTTA